GTCTATTGCAAACACCTGCGGCGTACAAATCTATAATATCCTGTCACGGAATACTGAGCTTTGCTTTGTTGCAGCAGCTTTGCCGAATTTGAAGCTCGTGCATTTGTGATTCGATCAACATGCACGGTGAAATGATTTTCTTCTTATCGCATCATCTCTATTTTCACTTAATTAAGGCAGAAATAGACTTCGAAGTAAGCGCGCTGTGAGCACCGTATGAACATAAATAAAAATAAAAAATCACTGGAATTGCAAAATATTCTGTAGATGGATGTAACGCTTTCGCTCAGCTCTTATCGGTTCGCGCATTTTCCAATAAATAGATATATGACTGTTCTGTCACGCGGATGAAGCTTCGTCAATACTCGGCGCTACGTGTACGCACAACATTTTCATCTGAAAATGACATCAAGTAGATACTTCCTCGCCGGAATATACAGTGCTGCGATATCCCACTCGCGTTTTACTGTTCCCGACGCGGTGAAACTGTATTATTCAAGTGGCCGTTTGTTGAAATAACGCTACCGCTGTTGAAACTGTTGGAGAACACCCGCCTCCTTACTCGTGTTCGGTATTTTTGTTTTTAAGTGAGTTATTTATAAGCGCATCACACTATACACATGTGAAATCGTGTTAAAGTTTTCAAAGGAAATTAGGACGGATGTGCTTTTGTCATTAGTTTAATTTTCAGACACACTCAAGAACTGCATTTAGCCCTTTTCAACGGGGAGATGATTAGTTTCCGTAAAAGAATAACATTCGCGTCCGCGGAAGCGGGAGTGTAGCCGCGTTCCCTTGAATTTTCGACACTGCGAGCTCCGCGCGGCAGACACGCGATATCGCTCTCCGCACGCTCGAGAGAGCGCCGCGACGCTGATGCGCTTTCATCACGGCGATACTCAGCGGACGGAATGAAATCGAAGAAGAAGCGGAGGAAGAAAAGACGGAGGGAGGAAGACGGAAAAGTGGCGTAACGGCCGGTGCTCGCGCTCATAGGTGGTCCCTATAGTGGTCGAGCGTACCTTCCACTCCGCGGCATCGACCCTAGACATCATTTTCCCGACGCTCGACGATCTTTGAAACTCCGCTGACGAGAGCGACCTACATCCCGCGGAATCGTCTCAGACGGACGAGAACCTTCTTTACCGCCTCGGGAGAGGCGAGTGTGAAATTGGTCGGATGAGCGCGCCGCACCGAGTGAATGGTCTAACGAGCAAATATAAATTAGATTGAAAAGTCGACTATGAAAAATGTCTCTCTCTCTCTCTCTCTTTCTTTCTCGATTTGGGACACTGTAATAAAAGGCGGCCGGTGGTAATGGCGCGCCGCGGCCATTGACACGTCGGGCACGGAAACGGTTTAAATCAATGTCATCCGGCCTCGATATATCGTTGTCGATGGTAGAACGGATCGTATGTCAAAGGGATGTTTCGTTTCGGATAAATATTGTAGACGTGTTTTTAACCGACAACACACGGCGAATGTAATTATGTGCGCGGCAGTGCGGCTACATCCAGACACTCGAAAGAGCATATATTGTACGCATTCAATTACGCATTCAATTACGTATTCAATTAATAATAATATTCTAATAACAAGAATAATAACGTTTCCTCAGGCTTGAACATCCATATTCGACCGTCGTTATTTGCATATAATTTGCGATATGCAACAGTAATTTCCTCGGATTACCAACGTATCGGCGACCCGGTGAAAATTTTAATTAATATCACGCTGGTTGCCGATAAAGTGCGAAAGAACCTTCGGCAAGGAAAACAGAGAATTCAGTTGTGCGCCAAGAGAGATAGAGAGAAAGGAGGAAGCGTGAGGTGGAAGCTGGGCGGTGGAGAGAGAGATCGTAGACGCACACGATCTCGTAAGAAGACGACGCCACTGCACGCTGGGGAACGATAACGGCGGTCGGGCGCTCCCGGATGCATGCCAGAAACCAAATGTAAACGGCTGCTGCGCAACTTAATTAATTAAGTTGCCGCTCTTTACGTTATCGCGCCGCCGCCGATACATTATCGTATCGGTTCGACTACGCTTCCCTGGCGAAAATTTCCGGAAACGTCTTGCCTGTCTTAAATAAAATTTTTACCGAAGGGAGACAAACTCGTCGAGGAATATTGTTATTATCGACATTCTCCACATACCCGACGACATTATTAGTTTTATAATTGACGCAGGTATAAAAAGCGCACAGTCGATAATCGCTAAAACTCGCCTTTTTCTTCAAGAATGGGAAGTTTCGATGGAAGCCTTCGAAAGTGCAATTACTCCGGAAGCTATTTTGTCCTAAAGGCGACGCAATAATGCGGATCCTTTGATTATTACCGGGTTTTCACGTTAAGAGACAACGCGGCGATGCATATTGCATTACATGCTGTTGTGTGCACAGGCGCCTTCTCGGGCGTGTCTCTCGGGAACACGATAGACAATTTCGAAACTTTGGCTATTATGTGTTTTTTTATTCATAACGAGCGCGACGCAGCCATAAATATCGTCGCTCTTCGAAGGTGATATTTATCGTCGTAACCGTTTAATTTACATTTGCCGAGTGATCGCGAAATTGCCTCTTCCGACCCAATTGCGATGCAATTGGTCACTTGCTACTTTACCCTTCCGTTTTAATTCGAAGGCGACAGCTGCAACGACGAATCTATGCTTTTTTAGTGCGTTATTGTCGTTTCCTTCGGCAAACATTTTCGATCGTTCGGTTGACTGCGCGCATCTCGAATACCCCGATATCGATCACCGCCCGAGTCAACCCGAGTACGATTTTTTATTTATTCAACTACTGGCGATGGAGTATCGTTAATTGTCGATATTGGATCAAGATATTGTATTATTTTCTATTTGCATGTACGCGCGGTGCATGTGTACGATTTTGAATATCTCTTGAATTCTTTCAGTGAAACAAGCATTTTGAAGAATTTTATTTTTTCTGGCAAATACGATTAAAGATACAAATTTCTTTCCTCGTGCTTGATATTTTAAAGATGTATGTGTCTTGTGAAAATAATAGGATAAAATGTGTCCCTTTTCTAATTCTTTTTTCGCTAATTCATTCGCTGATATCCCATTCGCGATGCTTTTTATTCCGACCACAGTCCGAAGTCGCACCGCGCGCGGGCTGTTTAACGCCCTATCTTTCGGTATATATGTTTTTACACGCACGACACGAATATATATCGACCAGAGTAGCTCACGGTCGACGGATCATAGCATATCATGATTCCCCCGGAACACTGACATCGATCAATCATATCGCAGACGAGTGTCGGCCTCTACGAAAATCCCCCCTGACGTTCGTCATGTTTTATTACAATGCTTTTATACGCCCGAATGTGCACACAGCTCGGGATATTTTCCGAAAAAAAAGAGCACTCACTCGCGCGCGCACCCTCACCTGTACAAATCATGGTCTGCGGCAAATAATGAAATTTCGGCTCCGCAAGCTCGTACTTTCCGTTGGAGAGAAAAAAGTTACGTAATGTTCTAAAAAACCCCGACTAAATATTTCAAAAAGATTGCAATATTCTTGCCAATTCTTCTATAATGTATCTATATTTTTTTATCGATTCTGAAATAGCGTGTTTTAAAACCTTTAACACACTGGCCTGATTCCGACCGCGACGGCTTGCTGAAAATTAATACCAACATGTATATTTAAAAAAGAAAAACGTTATTTCAATAACCTACTCCGAGAGTAGATTTATACATCCCGCATATTTGAACAGTCACACTTGGAGCAGTTTTAACGAGCGTAAAAATCGTTAACGCGACAACAGAGAAATGTCGCGAGTAAAATATCGCGGTTAGAATTTTACGGTTATATGCTTTATTTATGATTCGTTAACCAAGAGATGGTTCGTAAAAGCCATAGTCGCCATCTTAAGCCATGAGTGAAAGCTAAAGATCTCCGTAACTTATTGCTGACAAATTCGCTTAAATTTTCAGAATGTTTCTCGAAAACTAAAATTCATGCAGTGTGGAATTCAAGTGTATTTCTCTTTAATAATTACGCGACAAACTTATTCGCACAAAACTTATATTTCCTTAAACAAACAGCTGACTCCTTTTTGCATCACTCCGCGGTTCATAATACCAGGACAAGCGCAATTAAATGAAGTCAGCAAAAAATTCGTCCGCAACGCCGCTCGCGAAATCCCCGGCCGCGATCGCGGAAACTAGTTTCGTAAGGGGCGCGAGCTATCGAGAAGTAATATAAACTTTATATCCCTCTTCCACGGGCGGAGAACTCGTAAGACAAATATATGTCGAGATCGTCGTTTCCGGTTCGCGCGACGACGGCTTACGACGGGGTGCTCCACGGGGCTACAATGTAAACATATATCGCGAAGACGTACACAGATATGAACTTATACGCGGTGTGTCTATACGCGCGTACACGGCGCGACGTATATACATACATGTATGTATACATGGGCGCGTAGACTCGCCGAGTATTCAGAATCCGCCGTAAAGACAGACGGCCGTCGTAAAAGAATTGTGTTAAATTTAATGTTCGACTGTTAAGAAACGTCCCGATAAAGTAAAATCTTAATCCCTCGCCATCCCCACGGAAGAGGATTTAGGATCCCCTTCCTCTTCGTCCCGCTGCTATTCCGAGTAGAAAGGGCTCGTCGCTCTCTTCTCGAGATCAGCCTCACGGTCGACCGGACCGACTATTAAGCGTATCTCACGTGCTTAATCCTTTCAGACCCAAATTTTTATTTGTCCGCGGGAGACCTTATTTTTACAGCCTGCGAGGGGATGAACTAAACGATGTTATTCGCAACAAAGTATTTTCCCCTACGAACAAACTTTTTGTAATTCTACCGAGAACCCAGCAGATTAATCTAAAATAATCCCGGAATTAAGAAATTTATTTCGTCACGCTGGATATTAAAGTCCAGGCAATTTTTCAGCTATTCAAAATTCAATATTTCCGATTTATCACGCCACTTAACATCTCTTTATGCGTTCCTTTTCAGCAAGAACGGATACGTGTGCGTGATGTTCCACAGGAGGGACGAGCACGTAATAGAGATGCAGCTGTCGGAATGGGGCCAGCAGCCTGACGACGTATGCAACGCGAGCACGTTCAATTCGCACACGATACCGTACACGACGTTCATCAGTAAGTAAATTTCTGATCTCCTAATCGAATTACGCATTGTGTCGTCGCAATATCGCGTCGACGGTAGCAAAGTAACTAATTGAGCTTTAATGCGAGACGTCAACTT